AATTCAAGAGCACCCACATTTGTAAAAGAAACATTGATAAAATTTAAACCACATATAGATCCCCACACATTAATAGTGGGAGACTTCAACACCCCACTCTCAACAAAGGACAGGTCAACAAAACAGAAACTAAACAAAGAAAAAATAACTCTGACAGAGGTCATGAATCAAATGGACCTCACAGACATTTACAGAACTTTACACCCAAACACAAAAGAATTTACCTTCTTCTCAGCACCTCATGGAACCTTCTCCAAAATAGACCATATAGTTGGTCACAAAGCAAGCCTCAACAGATACAAGAAGATTGAAATAATCCCTTGTATCTTGTCTGATCACCATGGAATAAAGCTGGACCTCAACAACAATAGAAATAGCAAAATGCCTACACACACATGGAAACTGAACAAGTTATTACTAAATGACAGCTGGGTCAGGGAAGAAATAAAGAAAGAAATTAAAGTCTTCCTAGAACTCAATGAAAATGAAGACACAACATACCCAAACTTGTGGGACACAATGAAAGCAGTGCTAAGAGGACAGTTCATAGCACTAAGTGCCTTCAAGAAGAAATTCGAGACCGCTCATTCAAGCAACTTAATGGCCCACTTAAAAACCCTAGAAAAAGAAGAAGCAGACACACCAAAAAGTAGTAGACGGCTGGAAATAATCAAACTCAGGGCTGAAATCAATCAATTAAAAACAAATAAAACAATTCAAAGAATCAATGAAACCAAGAGCTGGTTCTTTGAGAAAATCAACAAGATCGACAAACCCTTAGCCAAGCTAACTAAAAGGCAGAGAGACACCACCCAAATCAACAAAATCAGAAATGAAAAGGGGGACATAACTACAGACACTGAGGAAATCCAAACAATCATTAGGACTAACTTCAAAAGTCTATATGCCACAAATTTTGAAAATCTAAATGAAATGGACAATTTTCTTGATCGATTTGACTCACCAAAGCTGAATCAGGACCAGGTAAATCAACTAAATAGTCCTATATCCCCAAAGAAATAGAAGCGGTCTTCAAAAGTCTCCCATCCAAAAAAAGCCCAGGACCAGATGGCTTCAGCGAAGAATTCTACCAGACCTTCAAAGAAGAGCTAACTCCAATTCTCTTCAAACTATTCCACAAAATAGAAACAGAAGGAACATTACCAAACTCATTCTATGAATCCACAGTCACCTTGGTACCTAAACCTCACAAAGACTCAACGAAGAAAGAGAATTTCAGGCCAATCTCCCTTATGAACATTGATGCAAAAATACTTAACAAAATACTTACAAACCGAATACAAGAACACATCAAAGATATTATCCACTATGACCAAGTAGACTTCATCCCAGGTATGCAGGGGTCGTTCAATATACGGAAATCCATCAATGTGATCCACCATATTAACAAACTGAAAGAAAAAAAACACATGATAATCTCCCTAGATGCTGAAAAAGCATTTGACCAAATCCAACATCCATTCATGTTTAAAGTCTTGGAGAGATCAGGGATACAAGGCACATATCTAAACATAGTAAAGGCAATATACAACAAGCCTATAGCCAACATCAAACTGAACGGAGAGAAACTTAAAGCAATCCCACTGAAATCAGGGACAAGACAAGGCTGCCCACTCTCTCCATATCTCTTCAACAAAGTTCTGGAAGTCCTTGCCAGAGCAATAAGACAGTTGAAGGAGATCAAAGGGATACAAATTGGAAAGGAAGAAGTCAAATTATCACTATTTGCAGATGATATGATAGTATACATGAGTGACCCCAAAAACTCTACCACGGAACTCCTACAGCTGATAAACACCTTCAGCAAAGTGGCCAGATACAAAATTAACTCCAAAAAATCAGTAGCCCTCCTGTATACAAAGGACAAAAGGGCTGAGAAAGAAATTAGAGAAACAACACCATTCACAATAGCCACAAATGACATAAAGTACCTTGGTGTAACCCTAACCAAGCAAGTCAAAGACTTGTATGAAAAAAATTTCAAGTCTCTGAAGAAAGAATTAGAAGAAGATATGAGAAGATGGAAAGATCTCCCATGCTCATGGCTTGGCAGGATTAACATAGTAAAAATAGCCATCTTACCAAAAGCAATCTACAGATCTAATGCAATTCCCATCAAATTGCCAACACAATTCTTTACAGACCTGGAAAGAAAAATTCTGAACTTCTTATGGAATAACAAGAAACCCAGGATTGCTAAAACAATCCTCTACAATAAAAGATCTTCTGGAGGTATCTCCATCCCTGATCTCAAGCTGTACTATAGAGCAACAGTTATAAAAACTGCATGGTACTGACATAGAAACAGAATGGTGGATCAATGGAACCGAAGAGAAGACCGAGAAATAGACCCACACACTTATGAACACCTGATTTTTGACAAAGATGCCAAAACCATACAATAGAAAAAAGATAGCATCTTCATCAAATGGTGCTGGTCCAACTGGATGTCTACATGTAGAAAAATGCAAATAGATCCATACTTATCACCCTGCACAAAACTGAAGTCCAAGTGGATCAAAGACCTCAACATAAAACCAGACACATTAAATTGGCTAGAAAAAAAAGTGGGGAATACCTAGAACTCATTGGTACAGGAGAAAACTTCCTGAACAGAACACCAACAGCACAGGCTCTAAGAGCAACAATCAATAAATGGGACATCATGAAACTGAAAAGCTTCTGTAAAGCAAAGGACACCATCATCAAAACAAAGCGACTGCCTACAGATTGGGAAAGAATCATCACCAACCCTTTATCTGACAGAGGACTCATATCCAGTATATATAAAGAAATAAAGAAGCTGAAAAGCAGCAAACCAAGTAATCCACTTAAAAAATGGAGAACAGAGCTAAACAGAGAACTCTCTGTAGAGGAATATTGAATGGCAGAGAAGCACTTAAAGAAATGCTCAACCTCATTAGCCATTAGGGAAATGCAAATCAAAACAACCCGAGATTTCACCTTACACCCATCAGAATGGCCAAGATCAAAAACTCAAGTGACAACACATGCTGGAGAGGTTGTGGAGAAAGGGGAACCCTCCTCCACTGCTGTTGGGAATGTAAACTTGTACAACGACTCTGGAAATCAATCTGGCGCTTTCTCAGACAACTAGGAATAGCGCTTCCTCAAGATCCAGCCATACCACTCCTAGGCATATATCCAAAAGAGCCTCAAGTACACAAAAAGGACATTTGCTCAACCATGTTTGTAGCAGCTTTATTTGTAATAGCCAGAAGCTGGAAACAACCCAGATGCCCCTCAACTGAAGAATGGATGCAGAAACTGTGGTACATCTATACAGTGGAGAATTACTCAGCAATGAAAAATAAGGAAATCATGAAATTTGCAGGTAAATGGTGGGACCTGGAAAGGATCATCCTGAGTGATTTGTCCCAGAAGCAAAAAGACACATGGTATATACTCACTCATATAAACATACAACATAGAATAAACCCACTAAAATCTGTACATCTAAAGAAACTAAGCAAAAGAGAGGACCCTAACTAAAATGTTCAATCCTCACCCTGAAAGGCAAAGAGGATAAACATCAAAAGAAAAAAGAAAACAGGAAACAACCTAGGAACCTGCTACAGAGGGCCTCTGAAAGCCAGAAGAAGAAAACAGGAAACAACCTAGGAACCTGCCACAGAGGGCTTCTGAAAGCCTCTGCTGTGCAGACTGTCAAAGCAGATGCTGAGCCTGATGGCCAACTGATGGGCAGAGTGAATGGAATTTTATGTAAGAAGTGGGAAATAGTAAGAGCTGGAGAGGACAGGAACTCCACAAGGAGAGCAACAGAACAAGAAAATTTGAAACCAGGGAACTCCAGAGACTCATACTCCAACCAAGGACTATTCATGGAGATAACCTAGAACCCTGACAATGCAGCCACTTCTGATGAGAACTGATAGACTAAGATCAAAAAGAAGGAGAGGAGGACCTCCCCTATCAGTGGACTTGGGGAGGGGCATGCATGCAGAAAGGGGGGGAAGGTGGGACCGGGAGTGGAGGAGGGAGGGGCTTATGGGGGGATACAAAATGAATAAAGTGTAATTAATAAAAGTTAAATAAAAAATTAAAAAAAAAACACACAGTGCCCCTCACTGGCCACCTAGCCTTGCCTCACATCAAGTTCCCAGGCTAGAGAGGAGCCCTGTCTCACAAACACAAGTGCACTGCACCTGAAGGTGACCTCTGACCTATACACACACACACACATGCATGCACATTCACACACATACATTTTTTTTTTTAGGTTGTAAGGCAGAAGAGATGGCTCAACAGTTAAGAGCACTGGCTGCTCTTCTAGAGGACCTGGGTTCATTCCCATCACCCACATGATGGCTCACACTACATGTTCCAGTTCCTGGTGGCCTTCTTCCCGTCCCTCTGAGGGCATCACACACACAGCGGTGCACAGATCATACAAGAAAACACATACATAACTTTTAGTTTTAACTAGCAGTGGCTTCTTCAGGATTTTGCCTTTGTGATACTTGGTGGTGGGGCAGGAGGAGGGGGACCAGGGCCAGAAGTTTGCATTGACTCTGAGTCTCTCCAGCTAGAAATTGCCAGAAGCCATGGTATTCTGGGAACCCTATAGAGGAATACCCTGTGTGAAGCTGTGTCTGCCTTGCTTCAGGGAAGCCTGTTTCCAGCTCTATAAACTCATCCTCTCACTCATCTCAGCAGCAAAAGAATTGGAGCTTTTGGGCAATTCAGATGCTGTTTGTAGCAATCCATTTCTGCTCTCATTTTTCCTGCACTAACTCCAGAAGCACCCCCCCCCAGCTCCCCAGCTTCTGAGTCCCACAGGGGACGAGGTCAGCTTCCCTGTTTCTCCTTTTCCTCCTCCATGGCAGGAGCCACCACTGCTCATGCTGGTCTCCTCTGTGGTCCGGTCCCTTTGCTCATTTTTCCCTTGTGTGAATCATTCATTAAGTCCTCATTTCCTCTTTCTCTCTGTTTTCCAGCCCACCTAAACCAACGGTGTTCATCTCTGGTGTTATTGCCCGGGTAAGTGGCCTCTGTGCATAGGCAGTGGGTGGTGGAGGTAGGGGTGAGTGGGCAAAGGAACACCCGTGCATTCTCTCGTTGCCTGTGCCTTCAGTAAGCACCAGTCCACCCATCCAGTCTGGAGCTGGCGGCCTTTTTCAGTGACATCCTTCCTTCTAGGAGTGGGCTTCAGCGGGTAGGAATTTGTGACTCCTACAGCTGAGCTCCTGCCTGCATGCTGCAGTCTCACTTGGTCCTCACAGGCTATGGCTCTGGGCCTTAAGTGGCCTGACCCACAAACATTTTCCCAACAGCAATACAGATCCCAGGAGACCTCAGTGAAAACTGGTTCGGTATTTGTGACTGACATTTTGGGTGTGCCCATCTGTATCCTCCCTGGCTGCTTTTGTTTGCTGGCCCTTGGACTGTACTCGTGTTTTCTGCCTCACCATGTACCTTTGAGGAGCCCTTTTCTCTCAAGATCCGAGTGCCACTGTCTAGAGAAACCACCATTGTTGGGAACAACATTGCTAGCAGAACTGTCACAGCCGTCTAAGACCTAGGGTCAAACTGTGACAGGTCTGCTGTGTGCAGGAAGAGTAAATGCCTGTGTAAGGCCAGACTTACTCCTTGGTTACATGGTTTTGTCTGCCCTTGCCCAGATCAAAACCCACTGCTGGAATAAAAAGCCAACTGACCCCTCCTTTCTCCAGGTCACATCTGACCCCATCTCCTGCTCCCCGCCGTTCTGTGCTTTTCCTCCCCACCAGTTCCTAGGCCTGCTAACAGCTGTGCTGACAAATCCCAGTTTGAGACTCTAGATTCTGCCTGTCTTGCTCCCAGTTAAGGATGACACAAAAGCAGATCTAGCAGGGAAAACCTGTCCACCTCCAACTCAGCGCTGAGAAGCCATGCGGCAGCTGAGTCTTCTCCAGGCAAAGCCTGCAGGCATCATCACCGTCCCATGTCCTGTGGTTGCTTGCCACCATCTGCTCCAGTTCTGGTGGCCTGCAGGACTTGCCAGCCACAGTGGTAGCCCCCTGCTCCACAGTCAGCTCATCCCCGACCCCTGCAGGAAACTGGTGGGGCTGGGGTTTGGAGGGCTTCCTCTCTAGCCCATTTATTTACTGCTAACCAGCTTGTATATTGCTGTCTCCTCCCAGGGTGACAAAGACTTTCCCCCGGCAGCTGCACAGGTGGCCCACCAGAAGCCACACGCCTCCATAGACAAACACGTTTCTCCAAGAACGCAGCACATCCAACAGCCTCGCAAGTGACTGGCATCCAGACCCCAGCACCCTCAGCGGCAGCAGCAGCAACCCAGGCCACCTCCCAGGATGCTTCCCTGACCAAAAACTCAAACTTACCGCATAGTTTACTAAGTTCAGAAACTTAAGGCAAAGCAAAGTGGGCTTTCGTTGTCTCATACTTAAAAGTAGAAGAAGCTCAAACCCCGAAATTTGTTTCTAAGAGTCCTAGTTGAGTGTCACCGGAGGGTCATTGTACTCCCCAGAAGAAGAACAAAACACAACGGTGTGCTTCTTAACAATTGTGCTGCCGTCCTGCCCTAGGATGCCCTGGCCAGCCCCCAGTTCATGGCTGCAGGTCCCTGCTCTCTGAAAAGTCAAAGCGAGATGTAGAACCTTCTAGAGTGCTGCTCATGGAGGGGGCTCCTGGCTGTCCCAGTGGCCTGCAGTGTCACCAGCTGCACGTCACTGCGGCTCTGTGAGCAGCGTGTACACCACCAGCCTTTCTGGGACTGCTCACTAGGCCTGTGCCACGGCGTTAGAGGAGGGATGGGCTCCTCGAATTCTATGAGCAGTTTGGTATCCCGGTAGTGAACTTAACAGTGAGACATAAACCTCCAGACCCCGAGTTGTCCATCTCTTCCTTTGTAATTACTAAAATGGTGTGAACCGAGGGTTGCTGTGGAGACCCTGGCTCGGCTGCAGCACTGGCGTGGAACCCACAGCCTTGCTCTGTCATATGGAGCCAAATATAGGATGAGACCTTAGAGCCAGCAACAGCAGGTCCCCCTGTGTAGACCTTCTCACACATCCTGAAACATTCACAGTCCCTGTTAGTTCAGCAACCCTAGGGACTGCTCTGAGCTAGCTCTGGTGTGTGTCTGTGGATCTAGGTCACTGAATGCGACAAGTCTCCCTGAAGGACTTCTTAATCTTTGACATTGAAAATATATTGACTACAATAAAGCCCCTGCATTTCTGCCTCGGTCTCTCTCTCTTATGTCTCAGAGATTCCTTTCCACAGCCTCCTAGGGCTGTCTCAGTGGAAGTCCAAACAGGCACACATGATGGATATTCTCAGCACTGATTTCTCAGACAGAGTTGAGCTATGGATATCTAGCAACCAGAGCGTAGTTGCCTCTGGAACTGTCAGAAGATGGAAGGGCAGAATGTAGTTGATTGACATGTCAGGCTTGGGTACAGCAGTTGGCTCTGTGCTTTGTAAAGCCTTCAGAGGCGGACTAAAAAGAGAATCGGTAGTTGTAAGCCGAGGGATAATACTGAACAGCTTTCTATATGCAGGATGTTCACCTGTTTCAGACCTTCCGAGAAGAGAAAATCATCTTAACTGCTAAGGCTACAGCCCCAGCAGCGAGGCTGCTGATGTCTTTTCTCCCACGGCTGTACATAAGACTTGAGCAGCTGATAAAGGAGGAGCAGGAGCTGAAGACCCCCTTGCATGGCAGATGTTCCTGGTTCTACGGCTCCCACTGACCCTGTCCTTCCTCTGCTAGCCTGGTCACTTATGGAGGCCGCTGGGGGTACCCATGTGTCTTGACTTCTAAAGTACATCAATGTGGATCTTGGTTTTGCATCCAGGAACGGAGAGCTGTTCTCGGCAAGCACATGTGGTCAGTAGATACTATAACAGCATGAACAGCACTGCTAGCTGGGGGCAGGAGCCTGTTGGCAAATTTTTCTGTTCAAACAGTAACACTGTTCCCTCAAGTCCAGGTCTTCAGCAGTCACATCTCCAGGGCCCCTGTTTGTAGCTGAGGTCACACCCACAGATCCCAAGAGTAGGGGCTTGTATATTTCTTTTCTTAGGGTGTCAGGAGAGTTGCTGTTTAACCTAGGACATCAGCCTCATGCTAACAGCCAGAAGCCTCCCTCCGCATTCACACCAAACTACTGAGAGACCATCACCTGCTAGCTAGTTTCATAGCTAGCCCCAGAACTGACAGAGAGAAGACAAAGGGAACAGAAGTGCTAGGGCCCGACACCGTGAGCCCTCTGCCCTGAGTGCAGTAGTTCAGTCACATGTCTGCAGTTCCAGGGTTCCCAGGGGTCCAGGCTCAGCTTTGCACTATGACCTATCAGTGGGTGTGTCCTAGTGTCAGGGAAGACAAACTAAATTTGATGTCAAAGTCTCATTAGCAAATGGTTCTCTGATAAGATACACCAATGGCCAGTAAGCACATAAAAAGATCCATGTCCTAGCTGGGCCTGGTGGCGCATGCCTAGAATCCTAGCATATGAGAGACTGGCAAAGGGAGATCATGAGTTGAAGGCCATATTGTACTGCATGATTTTGAAAATAGTAAAAAAGATGGTCATATCTTTAGTCATCAAGGAAATGGAAGTTAGACCCAAAGTGAAATACTGCTGCAGAAAGATGGCTAAAACCAAGGTCCGATAGTTACAAGAGCTGACAAGGATGTGTAGAAAGGAGAGTTCTCATACAGTACTGTTGGGAGTATAAAAATAGTGCAGCCACTGGGGCAAGAATCTAACAGTCCCCTGAGCAATTCAGCTACCCGCTACTTACTGCTGACCATAATAAGCCCAATAGAAATAAGGACATGTCTACACAAAACTTGCACACAGTGTTTATATAGCAGCATTATCCAGGATAGAAATGGCTCAAATGCCTTACCTACTGAAAGGTAGGGTTTTTTAATGTGGTATATCCATATCATAAAATATAACTCAATAATAAAAAAAAGAATAGAGTATGATACGCTGAAGCACGGGTGAATCCTGAAAACACTGTACCAGTAAAAGAAGCCAGTCACAAAAGATCCTATGTTATCTGAGGTCATTCCTGTGTAGGGTTCAAAATGGGAATCTAGAAGAGTGGCTCTTAGGTGATGATGTGGGAAGAGGGAATATGAAAAGTCATAGATAGGAGCCGTACAGATATCTCAGTTGAGAGTGTTCACTGATGTTGAGGACACAGTTCCCAGCATCCACACTGGGTACTGGGTAGCTCGGGACTGCCTATCACTACAACTTCAGGAAATCTGATGTCCTTTTCTTGCCTCCCTGGACACCTATATACATGCTTGCACACACAGAGAGAAACACACATGAATAAAAATACCATTTTTTAAAGAAAAGCAACAGCTAGAGAGCATGGTGTCTCTTTGGAGGGTATGAAAATGTTCTAGAACAAGACAGGGGAATGGTTTGGCATACCTGTGAGTAAGACTCTGGCTGAATGTGTGTGGTGGGAATCCCATCTCAGTAGATGGTTTCTTTAAAAGTCAGTGTCAGCTGATGGCAGAGCTGAGGCTTGCATCCATCAGAGCCAGAGCCTTCGTCTCCACAGAGCTTCAGAGCCTCTGGCCATGTGGCAGCGGGAAGGAAGAGCTGCTGCCTGTCTGGTCAGAGTGAATGAGGCAGAGGGCCAGCCTATTGTTGTGCTTCAGGCCTGTGGCCAAGATGCTGGGGAACATCCATGGGTAAATGACCTAGATGGAAGAGAAGAGGCCACTCACGCACTCCTGCGTGGCCTCGGGCAGAGCTGCTGATCAGAGCTTTGACGTGTTGAGATAAAGGGTGGGAGAGATGCCAAGGCTGGGTGCAGCCTGGAGTTCTGTTGGCATGGAAGTGCTAACAAAGCTAGGGTTTGGTGAGGGAGAAGTAGACGATCCCCCTGAGAACACTGCAGGTGTGACCACAGAGGTGCCGCTGATGCAAGGCATGCCAGGATGCACATGTGGGAGATGAAACAGGTGGAACAGGACCAGGAGGCTGAGTGGTGAGCCTGGGCTAAGCAGGCTCCCATAGATAACCCTGGAAACCTAGAGTGAACAAAACCCAAAGTTTCCACCTTGTGCCCAAAGAGGACAGATGCCAAATTCAAATGAGTCCTGGATTTGTTCTAAGTAGGTCAACACCCATCTATTTTATAAGTTCTCTGTATTTACCAAAGCCTGAGACAGCAGACCCCAGAGCTCAGGATAGGCCCCAGTTTAACCTCTGCCTTGCCTGCTTATTACCCGAAAGATCTTGGGCAGATTGCTTTTCTTCTCTAAGTCTCGGTTATATCATGATAGCATGTGAAACTTTGCAGAACCTCCCAGAAGTTCCCAGGTAACCCTTGTACATGTTAAGACAGCGAGTGTGTTCTCTGAGGGCATTGATTTATCATCATTCTTGTTAATAAAACAAGATCAGAGTTGTGAATTCTGCCCGGTTATCAAATTCCAAGAGGAGGTGGGGGAACAAGTGGGGGAATCAATCCTGAAATGTGCTTAGAAGCACAGTTGCTGTCACAAGCTTAGCGGCCGACTGAAGGTGCACAATAGTGCCCTGCACACACACGCCCCTCTCTCTCCCCTGTGTCTAGGTGTGGAATCCAGGTGAGCCTTCATGTGCATCCAGGAGCAAACACTAGTAGGAAATGCCACAGCTTTTGTCAGCCTTGGCCACTGGACAGTGAAACAGTCATCAAAAGACACTGCTGGGTCATGCCACAGCTTTTGTTAGCGGCGGATGAATTTTAATCCAGCAACATGGCTACTTAGGGTGGAGTGCAGACATGCCCTTAGAACACAGCTTTAATCCCAAACAATGAAGGTAAGGCTAGTTTATAGAAGGAAACAGCCATGTTTGAAAGTGACGTCTAATTGAGGGGCAGACAAAATGATGAATTAGAAAGATTTGACAGAATGAGTCAGAAATAGGATACATCCAACTCTCAAGAGAACAGGACAGGAAGAAAAGGCTATAAAATGCTGGGAGAGGAGAGTTTGGGGGTTTGGTTGGTTGGTTGGTTGGTTGGTTGGTTGGTTGGTTGGATTTGGTTTTTTTTTGTTTTGTTTTGTTTTGTTTTTTAATATAATTTTTTATTTATTACAATTTATTCACTTTGTATCCCAGCTACAACCCCCACCCTCATCCCCACCCAATACTGTCCTCCCTCCCTCATTTCCTCCCATGCCCTTCCCCAGTCCACTGATGGGGGGTCCTCCTCCCCTTCCATCTGACCCTAGCCTATCAGGTCTCATCAGGATTGGCTGCATTGTCTTCCTCTGTGGCCTGGTATGTCTGGCCCCTACCTCAGGGAGAGGTAATCAAAGAGCCAGCCACTGAGTTCATGTCAGAGGCAGCACCCTTTCGCCTTACTAGGAAGATTTGTTTAAAAGTACACATTGGGAGAAAAAAAAAAAAAAAAAAAAAAAAACAGTCTTTTCCTCCCTTCCTCTGTTTTCCCCCCACTTATTTATTTTTTTTTAATGCCCATTTACAATGTATTTTACTAGTTTTTTTTTTTTATTTTTTATTAATTACACTTTATTCATTTTGTATCCCCCCATAAGCCCCTCCCTCCTCCCCTGCCAATCCCACCCTCCCTCCCCTTTCTGCATGCATGCCACTCCCCAAGTCCACTGATAGGGGAGGTCCTCCTCTCCTTCTTTCTGATCTTAGTCTATCAGTTCTCATCAAAAGTGGCTGCATTGTCCTCTACTGTGGCCTGGTAAGGCTGCTCCCCCCCAGGGGGAAGTGATCAAAGAGCAGGCCAATCAGATTATGTCAGAGGCAGTCCCTCTTCCCATTACTATGTAACCCACTTGGACACTGAACTGCCATGGGCTACACCTGTGCAGGGGTTCCAGGTCATCTCCACAAATAGTCCTTGGTTGGAGTATGAGTCTCTGGGAAGTTCCCTGTGTTCAAATTATCTTGTTCTGTTGCTCTGCTTGTGGAGTTCCCGTTCCCTCCAGCTCTTACTATTTCCCACTTCTTACATAAAATTCCATTCACTCTGCCCATCAGTTGGCCATCAGGCTCAGCATCTGCTTTGACAGTCTATACTGCAGAAGCTTTCAGAGGCCCTCTGTGGCAGGTTTCAAGGTTGTTTCCTGTTTTCTTCTGGCTTTCAGAGGCCCTCTGTAGCGGGTTCCGAGGTTGTTTCCTATTTTCGTTTTCTTCTGATGTCCATCCTCTTTGCCTTTCAGGTTGGGGATTGAACA